GATCAGCTGGTGGAGGTGATGGAGACATCCAATCATCAACCCAACATATGTAATATTGTACAGTATACACTGCCACATGTGAAGACTTTGGTGTAGTGTTGTGTGATCACCTGTCAGTGTCGGGCACTTTCGTTGTTGGCGCGGTTGTGTCTCGCCGCTTTTCGGCCGCGGCCACGACGCTTCGGGAGAATGTGCTCCGCGGAGCGTGATCCAATGGGACAAAAGCGTTGGCGTTTTATAACGCGCTATGCCCGGAATGCTGGCGCATGGCTTGAATGGAGGTTTGAGCAACCACGGGAGAGCCAACACAAGCCCACACACCTTTTGCATTCTCACGCTTTCAGGAAACGGTGACCACCTACACTACTGCCCTTCTTTTACTTGCAGCTCCAGCGCCCCACAGGCCTCTGCTTGAAGTGATGGTACGCGTACCACCTTCACCCTCCCTCCTTGAGGCTTTCTTGTGGTGCCCGCAAAAGGGTAATTGGGCTTTTTAATTGTGAATATAATTATTTATTATTATATATTTATGTGTACTTGAACAGGGGAACAGCGGCAGTGCAGGTCCCATACAACTGCCAGCACAGGTCACCAGCCAAGACCTGGCCCAAGTCTGGGTTCGTAGTGCTCCCACGCACCGACGACTCCCCTCACGCACTCACTATTTTTTGGTTTTTTTCTACTCAGGATCGGTACGACAAGCGCAAGAGCGGAGAGCTGAGCTCCGCCAAGGCCCACAAGTTCATGAAGGACCTGGCCCACGTGGCCGGCCTCAAGTACGACAAGGCCGAGGCCGACCGTCTCATCCGCTCCGTTGTCGACCACCCCGACACTACTGCCGCCGGCGCTTCCACTCAGCCGCAGCCCAGCGGCAGCAGCAGCGGCAGCGTGCCCCGGAGCCCGCGCAAGCAGCAGGAGGCGGCGGAGGGCGACGTGCGGGTCGACTTTGAGCGCTTCCGGCGACTGTTCCTCGTCGTGCTCGAGAAGGAGCGCGAGCAGCAACAGCTGCTGCAGCAGCAGAACGAGAAGCAGCAGCAGCACGTGAAGCCTGCGTCGGCAGCGCTGCTGGGCAGCCGCAAGCTGAGGAGCCACCACCAGGCCAGCAAGACCCACAAGGCCGGCACCGGCGGTGGTGGTGTGCACCGCCAGCTTTCGTCGTCTCTCAAAGAGGTCCAGCGGCGAATGCGCCAGGAGGCCGCCGAGGCCTCAACCGATTCAACGACCAGGTGGCAAGTCATCGGCGATGACTACGATGACAACGACAATAACGAAGGAGAACATAGGAAGAAGGCGGCGACGGTCGGAGCGACGATGAGCGCGACGATCGCCGAAGCCGTCATGGCGACGCGCGATCGCACGCGGCGGGAGACCATGCTCGGCACGCAGCGGCGGCCGACAGTGAGCCCCACCAGCGACCAGGCGCCGCCGTCCTCGGCCGCGGCGACGTCGACGGGCGAAGCCCACGACCCTGCTGCCTCGGGCCACGTCTTGACGGCGGCCGACGAGGCGGGCGCGGTGGTGGAGTCTGCGGCGAGCGAGGTCTCGGCCCGAATGTCGAACTGCGGGACGATCGAGACTCGGGCGCGGCGAGGGTCGGCCAAGACCGGAACGGATCCGGCGGTGGTCGACGATGAAGTGCCACCCGCGGATGTGGCTGGACTGGAGGGCGTCGCAGGTTCGCCGAAGGAAGAGGCAGCGGAGGAAGAAATCGCCAACTCGATAAAGAACGAACGCGAGGAAGCGATGAGCGAAAGCGACGAACTGAAGAAAAACGAAAGCGAAAAGCGAAAATGCGGAAGTGGAGGCGGTGAAAAGAGAGAGCGACGATACTAGAACGTCGCAGCCCAACAAGAAAGAAGAAGAAGAAGAGCCAACAACAACAGCTCTGCCGGAGTTGCGTTCGCCCCGACGAGCCGACAGCGCCTCGGCACTCAGACAGCGCTCGCCATCCGCTGGCGGAATCACCGAACCACACAAATCCGTGCCCGTAGAGGAATCCGAGGTATGTGTTGTGGCGTGTTGTGTTTCTTGTAATGTGTGCGCGTGTGCGGCGCTGTGTGTGTGTCTGAATGAAGTGAACGCGCAGCCGACATCGGAGGTGGGCAAGGACAACCTGTTGGTCTCGCTGGCGCTGGTGCTGATCCACCTGGCCTCGCCCCTGCGCCACCGCCACCTGCTCGCCTGGGCGCTCACCCTCATCGCGCTCGTCGCCTGGCTCCTCCTCGCCCGCGCCATCCGCCTGCTCTACCTCCGCGCCGCCCTCGACTGCAAGCAGCAGCTCTGCACCGACGGCCAAGGCCCAGTGACGTCACCGCCACCTTACACGGGCCTGGACCGGGCGCTGCTGGGGCTCGACCGGGCGGTGGTGCGGCGGCTGCTGGGTCCGCGCGCGCGAGTGCTGGCCTACGGCGCGGCCTGCTTCGGGCTGGCCAGCTTCAGCGCTGCCCACGACCCGTCGCTGGCGGCCCTGTTCGGCCTCGCGCTGCCGTCGGTCATCCTCGGCTCTCTGCGGTGGAAGCACGACGTGCCGACGGCCGACCCCCTCAACCTCCTCTCCTTCGCCGACGGCGCCACCGTGTTCGGAATCATCACCGGTGCGCGTGCGGTGTGTGCGTGTCGTGCCGTGTGCGGTGTGTGCGTGTGCGTGTGCTTACGCGATGGTGGGGAGTACAGGTTCACTGATAGCAGTGTCCGGGGTGGTGGGGTACATGGTGATCTGCACGTCGCTGGCGATCTCGATCACCCTGGCCACGTGGCACACGCGACGCTGGCTGCACGGCCTCAAGCCCAGCGGCGTCAGCTTTGTCCGTACGTCGGCCACCGCACACGCACGACACACATGACACACGCACGCGCACACACGCCCCACACACTGACATGCATTTCCAGGCGATTTTCTGATGGCGGTGGTGATCTACCCGCTGGTGGGGGCCACGGTGTTCGTGGCCTGCATGGCGCTCTCCTTCTTCGTCTCCGGCCTCCTCTCTCGCTCATCTTCGGCCAGATGTTCATCGGCGACTGGTGGGCCTCTTCTCTCCCCATCACTCTTGTTTGCTCTCCTGGTGGTCGCCACGGACTCTCCAACCAACGACGCACGCACGCACGCGCACATGCACGCACACGTTCGTGCAGGCACGTCACGCTGCGCACGGTGTTCCAGTTCATCCTGCTCACGGGCCTCGTATTGGCAATCATGATCGGCAGGTGGCCGCATGCACTCCTCCGTACGTTGCCCTGTGTGTGTGTGTGGTGTGTGTGTGTGCGTGCGCGCGCGCGCGCGCTCGTGTGCATGTATGTGTGGTCGCTGCTAACACGATCATCATCGTGATCGAATGTTCTATCAGAGGGCGGCTCGTCGTTGGGCGCGGGGTTGTCGCGTCCGCTGGTCTCGGCGGTCAGCGTGCTGTGCCTCCTATGCACCGCCATGACCACTCTCACCCTCCTCCGCTCTTCTCCGTCAAACTGAACATACTCAAATATAAGATCTTATTTTTGCTTTCTTGTTTGTTCCCTTTCCGAACACCTGGCTGCTGCGTGGGACGAAGGCGCGGTTGGCTCACAATTGCTTGAATTACAATGCATACCTCCGGGTGGTGTTTAAAGGCGCAGCAAGCGCAATCGAGCCCTCTTTAAAGCCTAATGAAGCAAGAACGTACTCTCACTTAAAAGGGGAACATTGCCGTGTACGCCGGTAGGAGTCCACCGGTGATTGCCTTAAAAGGTACAACTAAACTGTAAAAGCACAAGACGGTTTGCATCTGCCAATCAGATCAAGTGACGCCACTTAAGTGGCTTCTATATTTTGTGCAAAAAAGGAATGGTTGAGGTGCAGCGCGTCTTTCACCGACGAAGATCTGGAGCTTTAGAAGATGTCGGGCAGGACGTAGTGGTCCACGGCGCGCGAGGTGTTGGTGGTGATCTCGAAGCGGATGGCGTAGACCCACTGGTTCTCGAGGTCGACCAGCGCCGTGGCGTTGATGTCGAAGCCGTTCTCCTTGTTCACCGTCGACAGGTTGGGCATCGGCAGCTCGGTCTTGCCGTCCTTCTTGGCCTCGAACAGGAGCTTGTCGAGCAGCGTCTTCGTGACGTAGGTGGTGCTGTTCGAGCCCCTGCTGCTGAACTCCACCCTCTTCTCAGCGGGAACCTCCACCGCCTATTATTTAAAATCGTGAGTAAAATGATTTAAAAAAATGACAATTACAAAAAGATAAACAGATACCATTTAAAAAAGAAGAAAAAAAGAGACGAACCTGAGTCCAGACGTTGCCCTCGGCGTCGGTGTCGTCGGCGGAGACGAAGAAGGCGACGGGCGTCTTGAGCTGGGCCGCGCGCGACTCCTTGGTCGAGAGGTAAAGGGGCTGGTTGCGGTGCTCGATCACGATCTCGGCCTTCTTGCCCTCCTTGTCCTCGAAGCTGATGCGGATGCGGAGCGGCGACGGCAGCGAGCCGTGGGCGCGGCGCTCGCGGTCGAACTGGCGCGCGTTAACCTTAACAGCGCTGTTGATGGCCAGGTTGAGCCTGGCGTTGGGCTCCAGCGTGAAGCCCTCGTGGCGCGCGCCGAACTGGTAGTTGTAGTACCCCTGCTTGTAACCAAGCCTGCACACGACCGCACACACGACCGCACGACACGCACATGTGTGTCAGAAATCTGAACATGTTGAGAATATGTGGAGGGGAGTAGTAGAACGTACGAGGTGGTCATCTCAATCCACTGGCCGTCCTTCTCGTAGGCCGACGAGATCTTGGTGAGGGCGACCTCCTTCTCGAGCGGGTTGAAGATGGCCAGGTTGTTATAAAACTTGTTCCAGTAGCCGTCGCTCTCCCTCCAGCCCTGGTCCGGCTGACAGGCGTCCTTCTGCTTGATCTCCAGGCCCAGGTCGCCCACAGCCACGTTGTTCTCCGGCACCGGGCTCTCCACAATACCCTCGGGCTCCTGATCGCCTGCACTCACCACGTCAGTCATCATTTAGGCGGTGTGTGTCGTGTCGTGTCGTGCTGTGTGTTGTGTGCGATGGCATGCGAAGAATGCAACGTACGGGGAAGGAAGTCCTTGCCAGGCACGTAGGCGGGACCTTGGCGCACGGGCGCAGGGATGTCGTAGGCCTTGTCGGGCATGCCGAAGAAGGAGTTCTGGATGACCTTGGGTTCGCCCAGAACGAGGCCGTCGACCTTGATCGGCACCACCTCGATGTGGGCGCGAGCGTCGCTGGTGGCCTTGACCGACAGCTCGGCGGCGGTGACGACGCCCGCCTCGATGATGAAGTGGACCTCGATCGCCCAGTCCCACTTGCCGTCCTTGACCGCCTTGTGGGCGATCAGCGCGCGGCCCTCCTTTTCGCCGAACGTGCGCAGGCTCTCGGCGTCGAACAGCTCCAGCTTGTCCACCTCCGTCGCGGCGCCGCCGATCTTGACGTAGATCTTGTTGTGCTTGTGCTTGCCGATCTCGGCGTAGCGGGCCGGCGCCGTGCGCGGGTTGCCCTCGGCGTGGTCCGTCTGCGCCACCTTGTGGCCGCCCTTCTCCAACAGACTGTCACAAACAAATTCAGATAAATATGATTAAAAATAAATATGATTAAAAATAAGGAAGTAAATTCTAAAAAAAAAAGAGATAAAGATAATGAAGTGGAAAATGTGAGTGTGGTGTTGCAGTTGCATGTGTGGCGTGTGGCGTGTGGCGTGTGGTGTGTGGTGTGTGGTGTGCTGGACATACGGGACGTGGAGCTTGAGCCAGGTGGGGAAGTCGAGGGCGTTGAGGGCGGAGCCGTCGTCGATGACGTCCTCGATGAGATCGTGCGCGTTGAGCAGGAAGCCGTCGGCGGTGAGGAGCTCCTTGGCGCGGGCAGTGGGGTCGCCCAGGTGGTTCTGGAAGCGGCGGTTGATGTCCTCGATGAGGCGCTCCACCTTGTCCGTCACGTTGCCGCACGGCACGACGAGCCTCGACTGACCGAACACCACCTTGACCTTCATCTTGTTCGCCTTCATGGTTGGGTTGATGTTGATGTGGGTGTGCTCTGAGCTGGTGCAGGACAATGGTCTGGGGATATGGTCCTTTTGTACATGTTACAGGGCCAGGTTCACCGAAGCTGCAGTAGGCGATTAGATGGTTGGTTGGGCGAGTGTGATGTTGCTGGTTGGTCCGAGTATTTCCCATATTATTCTCCGCAGCCAATGGCATGATCCCATTGCCGGAACATGGGATCTTGACCTGGTTGAAGTTAAAAGCCCAAACTCTGCTCGCCTATTGGCCTGGCGTACCGTTCGTACTCGTTGAGATTTTCCACTCGCCCCTCGCCGAGTAAGGAACGCCGAGTACCGCCTGTGGCCTGCCTCCCCAAGCCGTCAGCCAAGGTAAGCAACTCGCGCACCACAGTGTCCGTCCCCGCGGCCCACATATTGTTTGACGATCCGACAAGATCACTACCACTGATCTTCTTCAACGTCTACAGCTCGTTCGTACCCGTACGTGCTTGCTCGACTGAACGACACGCAACAACGCCACAGATGGTGGGCACCGTTCTCCAGCAGCAAGAAGAACGGGCCACCGTTCGCCAGCAGCAAGAAGAACATCAATTCCACGAATTGTGTACAATGCCCTTCTGCGAAGCTGGCCACCACCTTTTACTTGATTTATATCTCGTTTTATATCTCTTTTATAAACATTTCTGTACAGAAGACTCTTCAGGGGGTAGAAGAGGTGATATATATGGGGGGGGGACGGTTAGGACTCGCGCTGAGGCCCGTTCCTGTCGGTGGTGCTCACTTGCCAGCTGGCCATGACCTGAACGATGCGACGTCGTTCCACCTCGTCCGAGTAGAGCCGCTTGAAGCCGGGACTGCACGGCGGGAGTAGCTCCACATCCTCTTCATCGTCACGAGCGCCGTCTAGATTGATGAGCTGTAGGGAGTACTTGCGTCGCGGCTCCATCTCGGGCGTGTAAGAGGGGGCGATGCCCAGCCGCTCCTCGAACAGCGCCAGCTCCCACTTGGCCAGGGCCACGGCTCGCTGCTTGGCCGCGTAGTCCTCGCCGTCCGCGGCCACGTCGAGCGTAGTCACCTTGGCAGATCGTCGTCGAAGAAGACGAAGTCGAGCCGGCAGCTTCATGCCTTGAAGTCTGTGAAGTAGTGGGTAGAGAAGCGCTGCTAGGGCTGAGTAGAGGGTCGATTGAAGCGAGTAAAGGGTCCGACTATGCGAGCAGATGGTGGTAGAGCTTGGGAAGGGGGGAGGCAAGGATGTAGAGGCAAGGATGGGATCTGTGTGGAGTAGAATGGACAAGATGGAGTTGTCTTTGTAGAGCGCTGGCAGGTTGGTTGTGTCTTGTGGAGAGCAGAAGGTGCAGAGTGGAGCAGAGTGGAGCAGAATGGCCATAAATAGGAGCCTGGCTCGTCGTGCCACCTGGTGGGCAAGGCGCGGTGAGGTGTGTCCCCTGCCACTATCTTCAGTGAGTGGTGGCACATGGCCTTGAAAAGGGCAAAGCTTGCTTGGCACCTTGACTCCTTTGAGACAAGCTCTCCAGCTTACACTGTAAGCTGCAACGCCCGTGACTTGTCGTCCGCTTTGCAGATCTTCTGCGTTGGCGCAAAGCAAGGCCATGTCAAGTCACAACATTCCAAAAATTGTACAGAATTCTCGCCACTGTCGTTGTGTCATTTCCGCCGAAAAAATGTGCACACGGCATTGGTTGCACCCGAAACCAAGCAAACCGAGGTTGGCATGACCGTCGGCTTGTTCACGTTGGGTAATCACACACTGCATGTAGCTACCATTTGGTTCCTGCTGACTGAATCTGATTGATCAGAAAAAACCACATTGGTTAAGGTGGCGGTGTGGTCAAACGTCAAGCATGTCTGGAAAACTGCGGACTCTGCAGGTGTTGTAGTTGCACGCACCACAACCGAACAAGAACCTAACCTCCCGAGAGCTTCAGCACCCATAACACAAAGACAATGGGGGAGCTGCGACGCGCCTCGTCTGCACTCTCCCCAGCAGGCGTCTTGGCCATGCTCGCAATCCTCTGCCTATTCCCCTTGTGCGCCCCCCCCCCCACCTCCCTCTACATCCTTTACACAACATACCACAGAAAAGAGTCGGCTATTTTGAAAGAGGTGTCCATATTTTACCATATTTGGTAAAATTAAAATCAATAATAATATATGTGTGGTGCCACGCTAGGGGGAGCCGAAGCTGTGGTGTGACGACGCACAACGTGATCGCCCACCGCGCGCAGCAGTGGCTGGGCGACAACTACCCTGGTCTGCGCCCCTACGCCGAGCTACTCCGCGAGCCGGCCAACCAGCAGGCCTTCCAGAATGGCGCGGCCTTTCCTGACTGGGGCTACACGTGCCCACTGGCTGACGTCGGCTATCCCCTCCTGCCCAACATGAGCGAAGCCGCACATTGGGTGCCGTCCCGCTTGCGTGTGCATATGTGTGTGTGCGGTGGTGCGTGTGCGGTGGTGCGTGTGCGGTGGTGCGTGTTGCTGACACAAGAACGAACACACGCAGCCACCGTTCCAAACGGCGGTGGTGGAGCACATTCTCCAGCACTACCCGAAGGCGAGTGGCGACGGGACGTGGCCCGACAGGGCGCAGAAGCTCATCGCCTTCCTGCTGGGCGTCGTGTCACATTCCGTGGCTGACATCACGTGGCACGACATCGCCACCGCCGAGTACATTCAGCAAGGTATGTGTCGTGTGGCGTGTGTCGTGCGGTGTGTAGTGCGAGGCTCATGGTGCGAGCTTCCAGGCTTTATCCAGGCGCTGGCGGAGGCCGACTACTACGTGCGTAACAGCTCGTACAGCGGCACGGAGCACTCGGAAGCCGACGCCGGCGGAGAGTTCATGGCCGCCTACGAGCTCGATCTCTCCTTCCTCTCCGACACCTGGTGCGTTCACTCTTCGTTCTTCCTCTTTCGCTCTTTTCCGTTTCGTTTTCTTGGCACACAAAGTCGCCGACAGCTCAATGCGGTTGCTCTGCATATGCAGGTTCTTGCCGGCGGAGGACCTGGCGCAGGTGTTCGCAGCGCTCAACTACAGCGTGCCGCCGTGGGTCATCAGCACGTGCAACAGCGAGCTCTACGCAGAGGTGATGGCCATCAAGGTACCTAATCGACTGTTACTGGCCAATCTCTGAGGCGCTGGAAAAAGTCTCATTTTCTTGGGGGACTGTGTTGCTGGTGTGAAACAGTACTTGGGCAAGGCGCTGTACCCCGAGTTTGCCAAAGATGCGCCGTTCATGATCGACCACTATCAAGACTACTGGCTGGGTAAGCGACACGACACACGAAGCACACAACACGCACGACACACACGACACGCACGACTGCACAGGATGAAAGGAGTGATGCGTGGTGGGTCATGCAGGAGGGGTGAACGACATGGCCTCGTGGACCACGCAATGCTGGCCCAATGTGATCTCCGCGCTGGAGACCGGGCGGCCCATTCGGTTCTGCTTCGAAGACCAGGAGGGCTTCCAGCCATTCACCGACGGCGGGGCACGCATAATCATGCGTCAGGTATGACGCCCCATGTGCGGCGAACATTGCTCGCATTCCTCCCTGTCACTGAGCGGTCTGTTGCCCAATGCAGCTGCGCCGGGAAGGGCTGGCCCAGGCGCTCCACCCCTACTCCCAGCAGATCTCCTTCGAGCAACGCATCACTCCGTAACTCCCCCTAGCTATGCTTGTGTGTGTGTGTTTGTGTGTGTGTGTGTGTGTGTGTTGTGTGTGTTTGTGTGTGTGTGGGAGGAGTGCATTCACACAAGCGCGATGTCGATACAGGGATGGTGTGGTGCTCTTCAATCCCAGGGTCAAAGAGCCGGCGGCAGCTTCGCCAGTCAATTTTGAGGCTGTTATGCGGCTGAAGCTGGGAATCGACAAGCTGAACGCCGAGCATTGCGAGTCGCAGACCGGACCCGCCACAGGCTCCTCCCTCTCCTTCTCGTACTCTCTTCGCCACGCACTCGCGCACGCACGCACTCGCGCACCACGCCTCGCCTGGCTGATCGACTGCCCGACTCTCTCCTCCATTTCTTCTGCAGAGTCCCGATCGGCTATTCCTACACCGGCGAGAGGTGCGTCCTACGCACCATTCACACCACCACCGCAGCATTAGCATTGCTAACTTTTTTTGTTATTTGTTTTTCTCATCACCAGCTTGGCGACGGCCGATTTTGACGGTGACGGCCTCGAGGACTTCGTCGTTGGCGGTACGTCGACCTGGCCAACGAGGCCCGCTCGCTGCAGACACTGACACTGCTGGGCATGCTACAGCACCGGGCTATACCCCGTTGCATAGCAACCGGTCGCAGGTGGGGGCGGCCTTCGTGGTCTTTGGCGCTGAGGCGACGGCACAAGGCCACCACACGGTCGATCTGGCCGCAGCAGCCGCTGGACATGGAGGAAATGCCAGCGCTCCGGTGGTGTGGGCCTTTCACGGCCACGCCTCCAACGAGCGATTCGGCGAGGCGGTCGCCGCCCTGGACTTCAATCTCGACGGCGTGCTCGATCTCGTCGTCTCCGCCCCGGGCTTCGGGTTCGAATTGCACCTCTGTCATGCGTGTCGTGTTGCGTGCCGCGTGTCGTGCCGCACGTCGTGCTTGTCGTGTGCCTCGCGTGTGTCGTGTCTGTCGTGTGTGTCGTGTGTGTCGTGTGTGTGAGGGTTGCGTCGAGCTGATGAATGGCGAGCAGGTCGGGCGATCTGAGTTACTATGGGCGTGTGCACGTGTTCCTGGGCCGCAAACACGGCGGCAACAAGTTTTCATTCTCCCCGACGCCCGACATCGTCATCGCCACCTATCGCTCCTGGACCAACCTCGGTACTCACCCCCCCCCCCGCCTCGTCGCTTCGTTCTTCTTCATTCTTTTTTCGCAATTAAAGAATGAAGCCCTGATGGGCGGGCGGTGGCGGGGCAGGCTACGCGCTGGAGGCCGGTTGCGACCTGGACGGCGACGGGCACCCGGACCTGGTGGTGGGCTCGCCCTACGCCCGCGGACGGGACCTGCACCTCGACACGTGGGAGTTCTTCACCTACCAGCGCGGCGCCGTGTCCGTCTTCCTCTCCTCCACCCTACGGCACCCCACCCAAAACCACCTCGACTGGAAGTACGTTAGACACGACACGACACGACCAACGGCACGACACGACACGACACGACACGACACGACACGACACGACACGACACGACACGACCAACGACACGACACTGAGTTGCGCATGACACACGCAGACGAGATGCGGATTGGTTCATGGAGGGCGAGGCGGCGTACGATTGGTTCGGTTCGGCGATGGCCTGCCACACGCGGAAGTCGGGCGGGAGCCTGCTGGTCGTGTCCGCGCCTGGCGCGGCCGACCCGCCACCCGCCAGAGCGGCCGCGGCCGGGTCTACGGATTCCTCTTCACCGCAGCCGTTGCGGGGGCCAGTCCCGGTGCACCGCCGCTCACCGCGCGCCGGGTCTTTCGGCTGTCGGGCTCGCGCAAGTTCGACCACCTGGGCGTCGGGTTGGCTCTGGGCAACCCCTACGGCGGCGACCACTCGCTCTACCTGGCGGTCAGCATGCCCACCCGGCCCGTCTACTATTGTACGCTCGGATCCAGTGCCAGCGCCAGCCCGGCTGAGCTCAGGGGTCGCATGGCTCACTGCGTGTGGGACCCAAGATTGGTTCTGGGAGATGATGCAGGCGGGCGAGGTGGTGCTGCTTGATGTGGAGCGCGACCTGATGGATCGGGGCAACGTCTCTATCGACCAACTGCGTACGCCACACGCTCGCGCACACGCACACACACACACACACACATGCACACCAGCACACCAGCACACGCACACGCACTCGCACACAAGCACACAAGCACACGCCCCACTTCATGGTCGGTACCCAGGCTGGCTGAGTGAATTTCGTGGACCAAAATAGGGCCACGCACGACGTTCCAGTCCGAGCAGAGCTACGCCCGCTTCGGACAGTTCCTGACCTTTGTCGATCTCAAGTGAACCCCCAATCCCACAACACTCGCAACACGCGATACACACCACTCACGACACACACGACACTCACGGCACACACCACACTCACGACTCTGGGGCTGGACACAGTGGCGATGGCACGGACGATCTGGTGGTGGCCGAACCGCACTTCGCCGCCGATGCGGGAGCCGACGCTGGCGCTGTCTTCGCGTGGACCGGCGGGCCGCACTTCCCGACCGGCACAGTCGCCCCCGTACGTCCCTTCGCACAAAACACGCACCTACACGCACTACACACACGACACACACTAGACGCACGCGTGCAACACACGACCGGAGAGATGTTTGTTTTTGGGCCAGCCGTGCAAGTCGTGGTTTACGCCTTTGTTGCAACCGCGCGAACACCCCACAACACACACCGCAGGCTCCGGCGAATTCCGCTGCGCTGTGTGTTCGCTCCGAAAGGCCGTTCGCGCTGTATGGCCGGCGCGCGGCGGTGCTGGACTTCAACGGCGACGGCAAGGCCGACCTGCTCCTCTCCGGCCCGCGCGACACCACCGCCGCACAACACACACTGACACCCACAACCACCCACGTACGTGTTCTTTCCCTTCCGTGTGTGTTGTCCTGTCGTGTGTCGTGCGTGTAGTGCGTGTGCGCTGATCAACTCCGACGCGTGGGAGACGTGCAGGCGGGCTCGGTCTCGTTGATTCTCCGCTGACGAGAACGGCAAACCAGGTGGTGAAATCGTGTAAATTTTGAAGAAAAGAAATCTCCATTGGCAATATCCCGGTGTGATATTTAGTCGACGATTTGAATAAATAACCATAAATAGGATCTAAATTGGCCCATACTTTCCCATAACCAATGTCCCGTGCGGGCCTTTCGCCGCGTGCTATTGGCCAATGCTTACTTCCTGCCTTATCTCCCCGTTTCGCTCCTTATCTCGACCTGCAAGATCTTCCCGCCGGTCCGCGCACGGTGTATTCGTACTCGCCCCTTGCAAGTACAAGTACGAGGCCGGCGCCACACCAGTCCATTTGTTTTCCTCTCCACTAACACACAACACACAACACACCGCGCAACGCAACACAACAGTCAACACAATGCGGCTGCTCAAGACGACCAAGATGACCGAGGAGGAGCTGCGCCTCCGCAACGAGAAGCGACGCGCCCGGGCACTGACCCGCTGGGAGCGCCTCCGGGCCATGCAGGACGACGAGTACCTCCACCACGACCAGCCGCCCCGGCCGGAGCGCAACAACAATGAGGAAGAGCAGGAGCAGGAGGAGGTGTGTAGCAACACCACTCCGACCACTTCGACCACCACTACCACCACGTCGAGGCCCAGCGCCAAGGGCAAGGAGAAGGACAACGGCAGCGGGAGCAGCAGCGAGAGCAGTGAGGAGAGCGAGGAGCGCCAGCAGCACTCACGGCGGAGCAAGTTCGCCCATCGGAAGCTGCAGAAGAAGAAGGACAGGCGCAGCCACCGCCGGAGCGACCACCACAGCGGGAGCAGCACGCAGAGGCCAACGGCAAGGTCGGCGATGACTCCGTTCGGCTACGTGGCCACGTCCGGGGCCAAGCGGCTGCAGCAGCTGGAGCAGGCCAACGCGATGACGCGCTTCTTCGACGCCCTGGGCGGACGCGAGTCATAAGACGACGACACCATCAAGTCGAGCGCAATACTTGACCTTTCGCGCCAAAAAAGCGCACAATTTTGTGGCGAGATAGCTGGCCAGAGTCATAAAAACACATCTTTCAATTAATTGATATCTCAAACAATACCACGTGGTGCAAGAACAAGAAAGGGCCAAAGCCTTGTCCTTGTCTTCTTGTGCTCTGCTGGTGCAAGTTCTCCGCGAAGGGGTGATAGGCTTGGCAAGTGAGCCTGGCCTTGAGGGCAGTACACCAGACCACACGAGAAGAGACAGAAAACGCACAGACACCACACCAGCAAGAACACCCGGAAAGAACGCAAAGAAAATTCAGCCACCGAGTCTGTGAATACTTCACATTTTTAGAGATTTTACCACGAGTTTGCAGCCGTGGGATTACGCGAAATTTAGCGTGCTATTTGCGGTTTTGGCGCGCTTTGGTTTGGCGGGAAGCAGGCGACGTGCGTTCTCGCTTTCCGTCACCTGCCGGCGCAGCTCACCACTTCATGTGTTGCCCACGGGGCTGAGCGGCCTACAAATAACCTCAGGCCTCGCTTCCTTCATCTTCATCAGCCACAACGCACAGCAAAGCAACAGCACTTCCTCTCAACTCCATCTCTTTCTTCACAACACAACACAACACAACATCTCAAGATGTCGTTCCTGCTCTCTACTTGCCGAAGGTCCAGGCGCAACGACGACGTGCAGCCGCCCCTGTCCGGCTATGCCAAGTGGACGCACCGCCTCCAGAAGGAGCTCGTCAAGGAGAAGGAAGGCGAGGTACGTTCATCTTCTTTCCCCCTTTCACTCTGTTAAGATGTCGAGAGATTGCAGCACGCTCACAGCCTCGCCTTCTTCTTTGCCTCTACAGATGAGCCACATCATCAAGATTCCTATCGACGACGAGCTGCGACTCGGCGAGTACATGGCGCTTGACCAGCCCGACCCCAAGGAAGAGGTCCTGCCCGAGACTATCGAGAACCGGAAGCTGCAGCAGCTCGACGCCATCTCCCACTGGATTCGCGTCTCTAACCAGAACACCGCCTAAAGGGACCAAACGTCAACTCTCCACAACCCAGGCTTTGCATCTTCTACGTAGGCTCGACTTCGATAGCGAACGACGGCGACAGAGGAACGGCCTCCCTGCACATACATCCGTCCACCCACCACTCGACCAGCAGCACAGACTCTTGTACTTCGTTGTAAATAAGACAACTCTTTCTCTACGTGCTCGCCCTCTTCTTTATTGACCATCATCGCCTTCTTCACGTAGAGAAGTAGAAGTGTAGAGAAGAGAGAGAGAGAGCCATGGTGACCAAACCGCTCACGACGAGGATGAAGTGGAAGTGGAGGCGGGCTCTTCGACCCACGACTTCCTGCGTCCGGGCGGCTTGCCCGCGGGCTCGGGAATGGCATCGTTCGGGAGCAGCAGCCTCATCACGTCCGTCAACGACATCAAGCCCTCCGGCTTGCCCTGGTCGTCCACTGGAAACCGCACATCACACGACACGACACGACACACACACAATCGCACGACAGGCGTGGAACGTAGGAGCTTAGACTGAGAGATGTAGAGATGTCGAGATGTTGAGAGCGCGAAGTACCGAGCCAGAGGCGGTGGACGCGGTAGGTGCCCAGCATGTTGATGGCGTCCTCGATGTACGTGCTCTTGCGGCACGTGAGCGGGAACAACAGCTTACCCTACACATGTGCCGGGCACAGTCAGACACCGCACACACGGCACACCGCACACCGCACACACATCACACCACACAGCGTGGTACCCCGGGGGTGATGGAGGCGATGCGACCCAGGAAGTCGGAGATGTTGAGGAGGAGCCAGTCGAAGTTCTTGTGTCCCAGCCCGCGCAGCTCGCTGGCCGAAAAGTTGGCCACCAGCCGCCCATTCTCGTCCGTGATCGCTACCGCGCTCACGTTGTGGAAGAACATCTACGTGTGCGTGAGTTAGCACGTGTCGTGTCGTGTCGTGTCGTGTCGTGTCGTGTCGTGTCGTGTCGTGTTGTGTCGTGTCGTGTGCGGAGCTTACGAGGTAAATGGCGTGGATGGCCAGGGCGTTGGTGGACATGCAGATGACGTTGGTCGACGTGCCCAGCTGGAGCTCGTCGATGGTCTTCCCACCCAACACCCCGAGCGACGAGCCGGTCAAGTTCTTGAGCATCAGCTGCAGCACATCTGATGTGTGTCGTGCCGTGTCGTTGGTCGTGTCGTGTCGTGTCAGAAGTACATGATCCGAAGAAGATGATGTTTGTGGAGACGCACCGGACTGAGTGACGATGCTGGTGAGGACCTTATTGGTCTTGTTGAAGACCGCCGCTCTATGAAGGCCCGCGGCAAAGTGCTCCATGGCCTGCAGCACCGTTCCCCGGCCGTACACCGGGAAGTACATGTCCGCCTTCGACGAAGCTGATGTGTAAAAGAGAATATGTAAGGATTGTAAAGAGAATATAGAAATGTATATGTTCATAAAAAAACTCTCCATATAAACATGTTTAGAGTGATGTACCCATGACCTTCTTGACGTGGGTCTGGCCGAACTGTTCGCCCTTGGCCTGGAGGGTGACGATGTCGTTGGCCCAGGCGCTCCACTGGGCCTCTTGCATGTCGTGCCCGTGCGTGACCAGGCGCACGATGAAGGTGAGGATGTCCATCACGTCCACGAAGCCCAGCACGTCGCGCGAGTCCTTGCACAGCACCGGCACCGACAGAATGCGATGTTGGGCCAACAAGCTGATGCACGTTCAAGCCAGAATGTGAATCAAAAAAAGATGCAAACAACAAGGCTCTACAAATTCTTGAATCGTCGGAGTACTTGATGACGTCCTTGAGCTGAGCGTCCTCGCGAACTGTGATCACTTGCTTGTCTCCCACCTAGCCAGAAGAAGAAGAAGAAACAGACCATATGAATGCAACAAGAAGATGAAAGGTAAGGAAGAGAATCGAGATAGTTTACCAGCTGGTTGACGGTCATCTCCTCGAGGAGGCCCACCAAGGGGACGGTGGTGGAGTCCACCTTCATGCCATGAGCGGGCAGGGCTGCCTTGGGCAATGAATGCACCACCTCCTGCGCCACTGGACCCACTGCACAACTCATTACTGATGTTCTCTTCTTGCTCTCTTGTCTTCACTTGGTTGTGCTAAATGTTTGCTCTGCTCCTCTTTCTTCTTCCTTGTGGTCTGTTGCTCCTGCTGGTGTTTGCGCACCAGAGAGTGCCAGCATGTTGGCTGCATTTCTGCCAGTCTTCATAGGAACTGAAAGTGTGACCCACCTTGACCCACCAATCAGAGATTCAAGCAACTTAAAAACACCCAATGACAACTTGATAAATAAAGGTGTTCCAAAAAGAATATTTACTCTCAGTAGAAGGTGGTCTTGAAGGGGATGTACTGGGGGCTGTCGGTGAGGGAGATCTCCAGGTGCTCGCCCTCCAGGAACGTCAGCGCGTAGTTCACCAGATGCCCGCGCACCTGCTTCAGCTCCTTCTCCAGCTGTTGCAAGAAGTGAAGAGAAGAGAAATCAACCCAGTCAGTACCTACAGACCATTCCAGCACGCACGCACGCACGCACGCACGCACGCACGCACGCACGCACACGAAGAGGTAAACACAGGAGTGCGCACCTTGAGCTTTTGGTCGAGCGGGACCTGGTGGAAGGCGTCCTTGCGTCGCTCAACCTCCTTGAGCGTCTGGATCGAGTTCTGGGGCATGTAGGGGAACACCCTCTCATACAGCTCCGTGTTGCTCTGGGCCACATGGTCCCTGCACCGCACACAGTCAGAAACACGGCACGACACGCACCATCACACACCGCACACGCTGCGCACACCGCACACACGACACGTACCAGTAGGCGAGGCCTTCTTCAGAGACGGGGTCGCTGATGAGCTCAAGCAGCTTCTTGTCGTCGTTGCCGATGCCGAGGTGCTCCTTCCACAGGGACATGCGGAGCGAGTGGCAGAAGCGACCCATGTAGAACGGCTGCCCGCCCATTCGACCCGCCACCATGTCGTCGTCCTTCACCCACGCCGCCAGCTCCGAGTCCCGGTATCCGTCCAAACTGTGTTGCGTGCGATCGTTGTTGAGTGCACCGCACACACACACACACACACACCGCACACATTGCAGCTTACCTTCGGTCGTTGATGTTGGCCGAGCCGATGATGGCCTCTTGGTCGTCAATGATCAGGAGCTGGACGTGTGAAAGAGAGAGGAGAGGAGAGAAAATGGTGAGAAAAGTTTACGCGCGCGCGTCGGTGAATGTTGACGGGGTCGCTGGGTACCTTGGCGTGAATGTAGACGCCCTCGGTGACGGGGCCCACGTTGAAGAGGTGGCCATGCGAGCGCAGGGCGTGGAAGGAGATGTACTTGCTGGCCTCCTCGAAGCTCACTAAAGAAACCAAAGATTAACATTTTGTATGTCAGCCACCACTCACGCAGCTCTCAACTTTGACTGGTCGTGCGTACTCTTGAAGCGGCGCTGCAGCTCCCTGAAAATCGACCTTGGTCCCTTCCAAATAGTACTGTGTTGCCTGGACGAACACAACACGACACACGACACACCGGCGCACACGGCACGACACACGCGACACAAAGGTGGTGAGGGTGGACGGGAGGAGAAGGGGGACAGGGGGACACAGGACGTACAGGCCGATGATCTGTCGGTTCTTGATCTCGGAGAGCGGACCCATGGCCGGCTCGCCGGGCACGAGGATCATCACGCGGAAGGGCTGGCGCTCGCGCGCGGCACGACCGATGCGGGACACGAGTGCGTGGCCGATCGCGTTCTGTGGGCCGCTGCCGCCGTCGAATCGCGAGATGAAGAACTGGATGACGTGGGAGAACCACAAAACAAGCGTGAGAAACGAATGCAGATGCTCACCCGCACACGATACAACACGCAACACGACACACACGACACAACGCGCAACACGACACACCGACAGGCACCAGGAGAACGACGTACCTGGTTTTCGATGTAGATGAAGTGCTTGGCCTTGTTGATGAGCGCAAAGTGGGCGTGGCACAGGGAGGTCTCCTTGCGGTTCGCCCCGCTCCACATGGCCATGCTCCGCACCATCTGAACCGAACAGGCCACCGGATTGGGCGTCATCTGATGGTAAGGGTGGTGCGTGTGCTCAGTGAGTTATCAATACACCGCACACGACACACACACACACACACGACACATACCTGGGTGTAAGGCTCGGGTCCGGAGACGCGGCACTCTTCGGTGAGAATGCGGTTGACGTCCCACCCCGAGTTATCGATGACCAGCTGGGCAATGCGCTCCCGCTCGCGCTGCTGGATCTGCTCCGGGACCAGCAACAGCTCCGGTAGGTACGGGTCGCTACCGTCGGCCAGGAGGGCCTCGTGGTCGGCGTCGGTCGTCGGGGCCTTGCCCTTGCCCTTGCGGTCGTGCGGCTGCAGCGCGGGCACCGACAGCGCCGTCACCTCGTCGCCCGTCGTCTCGTCCACGGTGGTGATCACCACCGCGCTGTGCAGAGGCGTGTGGTCGTTGTCGTCGGCTTCGGCCTTTGGCGCCGCCAGCTCGCCGGTAGTGTGCTGGCGCTCGCTGACGCGCTGGGTCTCATCGACGTCCGCCGCCTCCTTCGACCGCGACCTGCTGCGGTGCTGGCGCTTGCTGGCGCGACCGCTGCCGGCGTCGTCGGCCTTGGCGTGGTGGCTGAAGGGCCGCTTGAGGAAATTCTTGATCTTGGCCAGCAGGCCGCGGCCGCTGTGCTGGTTGTCCTCGTTGTTGGGCGCGTTCTCGTCACGCGGGTCCTCGAAGCCGCCGTCGGGGCCGAGGCACCCGAATCGCTGCTCGTTGACCAGCTCGTAGCAGCGCCGCCAGCGCCCGTTGGCCGCGGCCCACGCCATGCCGCCCAGGCGCTGGGTCTGCTCCGGCGTCAGGCCCGCGTCGAGACCACCACCAACGCCGCCGGTTTGGAAGAAGGGGTTGGGCAGAGGCTTGAGCACGGGGAAGCGGGGGCTGATGGCCTCCATGACCGGCAGGAACTGCTCGTAGTAGGTAAGCTCGGCCCGGTGGTGGTTCCACCGCTGCAGGAAGTTGTAGGCCAGATCGACAGCCGCCTCTCCATCTGCATTCGCATCATTAGCACACGACACCACACTCACAGCGCGCACGACACGCACACACCGCACACGATAGAAGACGTACCGACGCTCATCATGATGTCGTGCCAGCCACAGCGGGGCTCTGTCTCACGGTCGTGGACGTCGACAAAGGGATCGACGAAGGGCGGCTCCGCGATGTGGAAGTAGTCGGCGCCGGGCCAGAGCGTGGTGAGCCGGTTCTCGTCGGTGATCACGTGCTTGTCCGTGTCCCACCGCCCGAACGCCACGTCCATCCCACCAACGAACCCCTGCCACAGCCATCCACATCATCTCAGCTCAAGCGCGTCGTGTGTGTGTGTGTCGTGTGTGTGTGTGGTGTGTGTGTGGTTTACCTTGACGTGTTTCGTGCCGTAGTCGACGACCATCGCCTTTTGGTGGTGCGAATACGGGTGCGTAGGCGCGCCCTTGAAGTGCGGGTGCCGCATCAGCTTGATGTTGGGGTGGAGGTTCATGAGCCGCTCCTGGAACGTGCCCGACCCGTGGTCCATCGCCACCTTGGGCTCCTTCCACAGCAGGATATAGATCTTCACGCCTTCGCGTGCCTTCCGCAGCAGCAAGTGGTCGAAGCGGTCGTCTTCGCGGAAAGGCGGAATGCGGCGCATGTACATCTCGGCTGCGTGAAAGGCAGTCAGTACGACACACAACACACACACCCGACAGAAGTCTACGTACGAACGAGGCGCCACGAGGAGAGCAGGATGTTGTGCTGGGCGGCGGAGATGGCGGCGGCGAGGGCGTAGAAGGCGTCGCGGCCGTCGACGAACCAGCGGCAGTTGATGTTGCGCCGCACCGGCACGTAGGCGCCGTGGATGAAGCCCTGCATGGCCCAGTACTGGATGCCGACGGCCCACTTCTGGAGCTCGCCCGTAGGATCCAGGCTGATCGTGCCCGAGCGCATCTCGAGCACCGGGAACTCGTCTCTGCCTCCGCGCAGCACCAACTTGGCGGGGTAGTGACTCTGTGTAACGTGTGTGTCGTGTTGCGTGTCATGGCTTTAGCTCGAGAGTAGAAAGACATGAGTTCGCGCGTGTTGCTGACTTGTGTACCTCTGCTTGCTCGATGTGCACGCGGAAGCCTTCAAGTGCGATGACCTGATCAGGGATTCGCGACACCACACGCGCGTGAGTACGTTTTCGTGTAGCTGCTATGAACCCATGGAATGTAAGGAATGTGTACCTCCAAGGCGTCGCCGCGCTGCTTGGCGTGCTCGTCGACGTACAGCACCGCGAAGCCTTCGACCAGGTCCACCAGGCGTCGCTCCCACTTCCTGTGGTTGCGGTTGACCAGCAGATAGCCCGACCTGGCGATGAGCTCGCGTTTCTGTCGACAAACAGTGCGTGTGTGAGCGTGTGTCGTGTCGGGCATGCGTCAGCGCTGGCGGGAGGGGGGAGGTACGACGAACCATCTTCATGGAGAGACCGCCGTCGCGCGTGACGAAGCACTGGGTCGCTTCGGCGCTCTGTATGAAGTTGCGCGCGTCGGCGTGCAGGTGGTTCTTGAGGTATTGCTCGTCTTGCTGTCGGCGCGTCATCTTCATCCGGGCCGCCGTGAAGCCCGAACCGAGCGTCACCTCTGCGCGCAAGCAGCGAGCGCGAAAAACATCACACCACACTCATATATGAGAAATGGCTTATTGTCCTACAGCCTTTGGTATTTGAAAAGTGGAAGGGAAAGACGTACCGTGCGCTGCAGCCTGCTGGTGAGCGTACCAGGCGAGCTTCAACGACTCCAGATGACTCGCAGGCTGTGAAGAATGTGTCGTAACCGGTTAAGAATGTGGGAAATGTGCGTGAGCGGGGGGGGGGGAATGTAAGGTACGCGGTAGGGTTGGAGGAGCAGGACTTTGTCCCGCTTGAGCCAGGCGCACAGCTCATCGAGGTAGGAGAACTGCTCGTCGCCGAGGCACCACTTGTTCTCCGAGCGGGTGAAGTACGAGCAGCCAAGATAGACCGTGGGCTCACCAGGCGTCCTATGACGATTCTTAGAATCAGACACACACGACACACACGACACGGGCAGCAATGGCGTACTTGTCTTCGACCCAGGTGGCACAATAGCCGGCTTCGTTGATACCAGGCACCGCGCGCACGAAGTGGAGCAGGAATGTGCCAATTGGCTGGTCATTGAGAAGCAGCTTGGCTTCGTCCAGCGTCTGCACCGCCTGGAAGTTCTTGTCGGCCACCAAGGCGAACACCTGCCCGACAGCCACAACAGCGACGACCGTCAGCATCAACAATTCAAATACTGCTGCGCGGCCTGGAGCTGGTCCGCACCTTGTCGAGGAGCGCGTTCTGCACGGCAGGCAGCGGGAAAAAGCGGAGGAAGTGAAGGAAGGAGGAGAGGCGAACGCGCCCGGTGAGCTCCCGCTTGAGCAGCACGTCCTGTCGAACGTGGGACAGCGCGCCCTTGAGGTGGTCGTCGAGACCCCACTTGCGAATGCGCTCTTCGATCTCCACCGGCGACAGCGCGAGGGCTTCGTTCGTGTCCCACTCGGCTGTGAACACGACATACCGAACGTGAGTATATACACACAATATGTTCATATGTACATAAATTAAACAAAAAGCGACCAACCACGGTGAAGGCAGACTTGTATACCGATGAGCTGGTGAATGACGTAGAGGGCGAGGATCTTGTTGAAGTGCGGATGGTCTGTGGGCGGCGGTGCTGTGCATGACGACTCCAGGGTCGCCGAGTCGATGTCTTCGTGCATGTGGTCGCGCAGGAACGCGCGCTCGAAGTTGGCCCAGCTCACGCCGAAGAGGTGGTCTTCAACGCTGCGACGCTGCATCATCAACGCCGAACTGCTCGAGGCAATGCCGCTGGTGCCGGCCCCGATGGCGCTGCCCTGCTGGGCTGTGGCCTCCAGCGCCACGGCCTCCTTCCAGATGTCGCACGCCGCCGGTTGCGGCACGAGCGCGTCGAGTATGAGGCGCTCCAGCGCCTGGCAGATGGAGCGGATGTCGGGCCTGGCCTTGGGGTGTTGATCGAGGCACGACGCGATCAGCTCCTTCATTTTGTCGCCCTCGGGCGTCCCACTACCGAGCGCTCCCTGTACGCCGCACGCACATCAGACGTCTGCTTTTGGGGTGCACGCTGTCGTGTGTGTGTGTGTGTGTGCTCACCGATAGCTGTTCTGGGAAGGGCACAGTCTCAACGGCGGTCTCGAGCGGTACGGCGTGAAGCGCAAGGATCTCAAAGAGAAGCACGCCAAAGGCGTAGATGTCGGCCGCGAGGGCCATGGGCGTGCCGGAGCCGCCGGTCTCCTCGATTTCCTCCCCGTCCAGCACGGACCCGTCGTGATCGGGCACCGTCGCAGCTCGCAGGCCGCGCAGGTTGAGGCCAAAGTTGGCCAGCTTGCATTGTCTGTTCAACACGTCCACCTGTTCATCCATTGTAGTGAAGGCCATAACAGCAGCGTCGTGTCAGTCGCCCGACACACACGACACACGACACACACGACACACACACAGAGAGAGAGAGAGAGTAATACCAGGACGTTGGCCTGACACAAATCGCCGTGGGCGATGCCGCGCATGTGGAGTTCCCTCAATCCGAGGGCGCAGTGCCACGCGATGTACAGACGGGTGTGCAGCGGTATCTGCATCTCGGCGATGTCCCGGCCCTCGTCGTCAACGCCGCGCCGCACCTGCGCGATGACCGTCTCGAGGTCCACCGCCGCAGGGAGATGCTCTCGCACAATCTGGAGGGAGATCTCGCTGCAGTGTGTGTGTGTGTCAGTACTGACAACGCCTTTGAGCGGCAACACTACACTGTTGTCGACAGTGGCTGTACCCAGTGATAGCTTCCTCAAGGCGTAGCACAGAATAGCTCCAAATATTGGGGTGATCCTTGACGCTCCTAGACTTGTCTCAGTCAGCGCACGACACACACACCACCACCGCACACGACGCACACGACTTGCCTACCTGAGGAGTGGAAAAATTGTGGGGTCGAGTAGCGAAGCGGCTGAGGGCGGCAAACGGATGGACTGCACCTCAACCACCTTGCGATTGAGCACGCCGTAGCGCTGGCCGTCCTCGAGGCCCACCGGTGCCCGGCTGGAGCTTGAGCTGGAGTTGGACCCTCGGCACCGGGCCTCGTCGCAGAAGCGGAGCCACTGCGACGAGTCGGCGCAGATGAGCTCCTCGGAGAGCGCCGGCAGCGCGGTGGCGCCAGAAGTGCTGCGGCTGCGCGCAGCGGAAGATGAGTAGGAAGATGTAGTGGTGGGGAGGAGAATGGCAGGTGGTGTAGAGGATGTAGAGGAGGTGAATGGCTCCTTGGCTGCGACGAGGTCATTCATTGTGGCGGAGGAGGCGTGATCGCTCTCGGTGGAGGCGCTGAGCGAGGGGATGGCGGACGGTCGCAAGTAGAACAAGACATTGCGCTTCGAATCGAACATAGAAAAGTAGATGTGTGGATGTGGCAGGCTCTGACGGAGGTTCACAGTGCGTGTGGTGCAGAAGAGGCAGTTGAGCGCTAAGAGATGATTAATTGGCTCGAGATGAAAAAAAATGAATTAATCGAATTGATGGAGGTCGTGTGGTGCAGGAGTTGTAGCGAACAAGGCCTCGCCACCGCACCACAGCGGGGTACCCAGCTTGAAGCTGCCCATTCAAAGGGGCGAACATGCGCGAAAGTAGTGGCGAAGGTGGAGAAAAGAGGCGGGAAACTCCCCCTGCTCAAACCAACTCCCAACCTTGAGAATTCCAATAATTGGCTCCCTTTATTCTAGCTACGCCCAATCACAACACCCCAGCTGGGAAAGGAAAACGAAGAAACAACGAAGGAACAAAGTCAGGTCACGTGGTGGGTAGGTGGCAGGTTTACCTTCTCCCTGGTGTCATGCAAGACCATCAACTAGGAGTACTGAAGACTAGAGCTAGAGTGCTGTGGATACACTGTTAAAATACAAAATTACACACGTGGGCTTGGCTTGTTGTGCGCCCGGCCCGTGGGGCAGCTCCTGGTCGCCCGCTTCTTGTCCGCCACCCGCCGGTGCCTGGATGTCGCTTCTTCCTCCTCTTCTTCGTCCTTCTCATTCGTCGGCTTGGCAGGCCGGCCGCGTGGTCTCGTTCTCGGGGCTGCCGAGGAGGAGTCGCCCAGCAGGAGCATGTCGACGAAGAACGACGACGGGGCCTGTCGCGTCGCGCACCGCTCGAGCATCGGCAGCTCCCGCATGGCCGCCACCTGATGCAGCTGCGCCGCGGGCGAGCTCCCCAGCTGGAAGACCGGGCCGGCCGGCAGGTTGCCGCCCATCACCGCCGTCTGTTCCGACGGTCCATCGGCGTTGCTGTTGTTGTTACCGGCGCTATCGTCGCTTTCGTCGCTTTCATCAGTGTCGCTGACTTCGTCCAGGTGGTCGGCGTCGAGGTAGCGCCGACTGCGTCGAGCTCGGCTGCGACGGCTGTTCTCGAGCCGGCCGTTGGCGCTGAGAACCGTTCCAGGCACCACAGCTTCTCCCGCGGCCTCGGCAGACTGGGCTGCCTGGGGCTCGCTACGCAGTACGTTCTCCCATCGGGCGAGGGCGTGGAGGCGCCGCCGCTCCTGCTCGCGCTCCCAGGCGGCCTTCTTCTTGGCCTGCTTGCGTTCGGCCTTGGCGATGGCCTTCTTGCCGGTGGCGGTCTTCTTCCACCTCGGGGCCTCGTCGGCTTCTTCCTCGTCGGCCGCGGCCTTCCTCCTCGTCTCCACCAGCGCCTCGGCCTTGCCGTTGTTGGCCTTCGAAGACAGGAATGGTAGCCTCATCCACTACGAGGGGCGTCTCGTGTAGTCGCTCTACGGTCGCTTGGGCCTTGGGCTAGGTTCGGTTGGAAGGGTCGTCGTTCTAGAGGTTTGGGGGGGGGGCAGCTGCTCGTCTGCTGGGCGGACTAAAAGATAAAGATTGTAGTTGTTCTACTCGGTCTGGGCTGGAAGAAAGAGTAAAGGTCTTGTGGAAGAGGTGATTCAAGAGTGAAGGAGGACCAGAAGGGGCAAGTGGGGAGAGTGGGACTACTGTGAAGCGCCCGTCGTGGCTGGTGTGGCGGGTTTTGTGGTTTGGTGGAATGGACAGCACCCAAGGTGACGTGTCCATGCCCTTTTTAGCGCTCTTCGCATTGGCCAACCGACAGCCGAGGACGGCCAACCCAGGTGTGAAGTGCAATGCTCGTCGCCTAAATGCTCACCCAAGCGTCGTGGAGAACCGGTAGAACGCGGTGAACGACCAGCACTTCAAGGAAGGCGCCGCTCTGGCGCGAGACAGCGCAGGAAGGCAAAGGAGCCAGTGAGAACACTGAGTATGTACTTCTCTTGTAGCGGCCTACACACTTATGCACAATATGGTAAGGCCAAACAAAATCAGACAACCAATTGCATTCCACTAATCGAACTTTATCTCGCACCCAGATAACCATTATTGGCTTATCTACCCTATACGGACCCTCGGATGTTGAGGGTGGCTCATCAGAAAGGAAGACTATTGACCTAACAGATGGTAGGATAGGCCGAGAAATTCCCTTTTTTGTCGCCAACGTTTCCACCAATGGGCGAAATTGCCGACTTATGTGCAGAGTTATGCAGCAGGAATTATTAAATACCATAGATTCCACGTAACATAGACCCAAGCGCGGACCCTTTCCGTCGACAACAACAAAACAACAAAACAAAACAACCATAGATTCCACGTCGCCAGGTGAACTGTGTTGGCGCGTAGGACAGAAACTCCAACGCCACGGTGAGCTCAAGCGGGCGAGCGCACCACGCGACGAAGAACGCAGTGGTGGCCAACCGGCAAAAGATCGAAGCTGCAGAACTGGAAGAAGGAGTGGAGGCATGAAGCTGAAGATCAACCTTACCCGAGGTGGGAAGGGGGAGGCGGTTGCTGGCGTGGGAGCGGAGGAGGAGAGAGGCGAGAGCAGCAATAACAACAAGAAGGAAAAGAGGAACAGCAAGGAGAAGAAAAAGACGAAGAAGGACAGCCTCACCAAGCCCCCCAAGGAAAAGAAGAAGGACAAGAAGACGGAGAAAGATGTAAAGGCTGCACCCACGGAAGATGAGGCCACCAAATTGACGTCATCATCGAAGAAGCAGCTGCCCCTGCTGCGATCATCTCACAGCAAGAATCCTGTTCCGCCCTCTGAACCAGAGGCGCCCACCAGCCCTCGCGGAGCTGCGGTTTCGAAATGGGAGCAGGCACTCCGTAATGAGGAGAAATCCAAGTCCCCTGCAGCCGATTCTACGCCCAGCAACCACCAGCGATATGCTACCACCACCGGGGCCGCGCCCGCTGCCCCTACCATTAGTCCGCTCGATCTTAGCGC